ATTCCAATCATGTAAGGAACAATCAAAACAAGCAAGAAATGTTAAGCGTCTTTCCAGTTATATTTTCATGAACTCATGAAAAATTCATCTTTTATCATAAAATTCCCCAAATATTCTCAAATAACCAAATTAAATCAAAAAGAAAATGAAGACTCTCACCTGAAACCAAGCTCTTCACCATGAGCCTCTGCTCCAGCCAATCAGTGCACCTCCACCCATTCATATAAGCCAATCACAGTCCTGGACTTCCTTGCTTCCTGAAAGACATCCCTCCTCTTCGGTGAATCATTAAGTACCTGGAACCAAGCACCTGTAGTTGTTGGTGAGAGTGCATTTGTACATGTAAAGTTTATCCAAAGGAAAAATGCTCAGTAGTGGTTGTGAAGAGCCAAAGACCCACTCCCAGAGAACTGAGGCAGGCCCGGGGAAACCAAACCAAAAAGTAAGGGCGCCCAAGTAAGGCCAACACAGGAAATCTGTCCCCCCATCAAGGGAATGGGAGAAATGGCCATGAGGAAATCCCCCTGCCGCAACGCCAAAGCCCCCAGGAGCTACGGGGATGGCGAGCTGGAATGCTTCCTGGAGGGGAAGTGAAATGTCTTCACACCTTGGAAACCAAGTCCAGTGGATTGTTTATAAACTTATAGAGAATAAACTGTAGAGAATCTGTGGACATTCAGATATTTGTGTCCCCACCTACTCAATACTTTGCAGTCTGAAGCAGGGTGAGATAATGGTAAGTTAGCTGTTACAAAACTAGATGAAGTTCAACCTAAACAGATTACCTGAGATTTCTGTTCAGTATTTAGTCATCTGGCTACAGCAAAACATTGAGCAACAGAGCAGAGGTAGGTTTCTGAACTGGCTGCTTTTGATTTGACTTTGAAATACTGTCCAGGGAAAAAAATGATAATGCGGATGCATTGTCCTGACGATGTTTTGACATACAGTGAAGGAGAGGCTGGCTCTGGTTTACATGAGGGGTTTACTGGAGCAAAGGAAGAGATCAGTGTGTTACCCTGTCTGTCAAATGCTGACCTCTGTACATTGCAGCATAAGGATCCTATCATAGGTTATTTTATGCAACTTTTGAACAGGGGTAGGATTCCTGAAGACTTAAAAAGGTCAGCCGGGAATCAGACATGGGCAATGTGGAGTCAACAGGTCATCTCCATGTCATGTATTTAATCTACCCAGCCAATTAACCAGGTGAGTCCAATCTGCACAGGTTAATTCACGGTGAAGATTGGACTCACCTGCTTCAGTGGCAGTGGTAGAACAAATACATGACATGGAGATGACTTGTTGACTCCACATTGCCCATGTCTGCCGGGAATAGGTTCACCACTCGCTGCATTCACGCTTCTGATGTGCAGACTGAGGTTGAACAGTTTGTGTTACTTCAGTGTTTGCAGGAAGGTGTATGGTGGTACGGTAAATTGCTGCCAAAAATCAGACGAGCGTATTAAAAAATTTTAATAGTGTAATTATTATTCACAACCCGGCATTTAATAACTTAAAAAGAGCGCATAGCAGTGATAGCGGGGGTTTACTGTATGGTTATTAGAGCGCTCTTGAACGCAACACCACATGCCCGCTCTCCCCATCTGTCTGCTGTTTTAGAAAAATTAAGCTCCCTCGCTCTGTTTGGGGGCATTTGTGTCAGTCAGAGAGTTTCTATTCTGCTGGATCTGATTGGCCAGATTTTTAGCTCCTATCCGGTGGCTTTTTGAACCAAGTAACATCCCTTCGACTTTTAAGCGAGAGTTCTGAATCTCTGACCTTACTGATTTACAGTCAGGTGGTTCATGGAGCTCTCAGTAGTTCCAAATATTACAGAAAAGTCACTTTGTTGAAGCGGCTTAATGTCCCCTGATTACTATACATTTAGTTTTTTCTAAATCTTAGACTTGGATGAAGTTTCACATTATAAAATACATAACAGATTATATATCTTGATATTAGTTTATATGGTACACTAATCAATGTAGACATGTCTACAGTTAGACACTAATGTTCTAGATGTAAAGAAAACCATACAGAAGGAATATTACCCTTTTCAAAGCGATGTATGATGCTAT